ATTAAAGGTGTGTGCCACCACTGCCTGGCCTCTATGTTTAATCTAGTGGCTTGTTCTGTTCTCTGATCTTCAGGCAAATTTATTAGGGTACCCAATATATCACCACATTCCTAGGAGACCAAACAGTCAGTATTAATCCAAGTAGGAGAATTAGCCCATGTGTGCCTATGGTCATTCATGTGATACTAGTCATCTTCTGGCTTGGATGGAGCTGCGTAAGCTAAGGTAGTTTGGAAAGTCTCACAGTTGTGGCCACTGGTCCTCATTGTCACTGGGGCCATTTGTCTCTGACAGTATAGTTCAAGTTTCTTTACAGGGTCATGGGCTTCCGTAACTAGTAAAAGGGAACAGTCCCTAGGACATATGCTTCTTCCTGCACCCCATTTGCTAACACTGGAAAACCAAGCCAGGATGAGAAAGTACCGTACAAGGCATGGATAAAGGAAACCACAATTCATTGGGGCCATTATTGCTTCCATCTACCGTCAGGTTCTATCAACGACAAAGTACAAGAAACCTGAGCTGTTCATTTTGTTAACCAGATCACTTCTGAAGTCCGTCCGTTGCTTGAGAAGTCAAAGAATCCATCACTCCTAGGATACAATCCAAATGACTAATGCCTCTGAAAAAGAAATAAAGAACATCTGTCCGTTGCATTTTTTAATATTAATGATGAAATGTATTCCCATCTGAAAAGCAGAAGAGGTATAAAGAAAGAAAAAGTGTGCATGTGCGTGCGTGCGTGCGTGCGTGAGAGAGAGAGAGAGAGAGAGAGAGAGAGAGAGAGAGAGAGAGAGAGAGAGAGAGTGTGTGTGTGTGTGTGGTGTAAATGCTATCTGGTGCCTCTTAGAGGTAGAAGCAAGAAGTATCATGATGCTAAGATGTTTACTTGGTGCCTGGACTTGCTCAGGGGCTGAGACCAGAAGAGCGTTGCCTGGTTACTCAGGTCAGCTGACTTCAGGCATATGCTTCCAGCTTTAAACTTCATCGCTCACACTGTTCTTTCCATCACCATGCTATCCAGGCTGTTTCTCCCTTGATGCAGGCATGGAAACTGTTCAGTGAAAGCACAGATTTCTGTGATAGTCATTACATTTCCCCTCTGTTTCTCCACCTTGGCTTTCTAAAAGATACCTCTCTCAGCTCAGGCTCATTTCACTCTTTGGGCCTGGAATGATCAACTCCTTGCATAATATAAGGGTAGCAATATTCTCTGTCCTCCTTTTTCCATTTCATATTACTGGACAAAGTTAAATTACTCAAAATAGTTTTAAATAGTCTTCTCAAAATCTTAATTTGAGACACTTTTTGTCACTTAGAAGCCCTTCTTGCATTTCAAATATCATTTGCTCTGCAACTGAATTCTTGTTGAAATAATAATTATTACCATTTTAATTATAAGAGTTCTGAGTCGGGGACCAACTAAAAATGTCTGCCTGCGTGATGGAAAATCCTGTGGCCTGCCTTTCCGCTGATTGACTTGGCTTGACTGGGTCCTGAGGGAAAGTGTGTCGCTTCATTTCTGATCGAATTCACAATGCAGCCCACATGTCCAGAAATTTCACTGTGTCCACTGAAATGAAAGAGAGCTGAGAGCCAGTTTATTTCCTAAGGCGCCAAACTGGCATTTCCTTCACATTACTGGACCTAGATTTTAATTGTTAGTGTATTTTAAAACATGTATTTATTTCTCAGTATTTTGTATGCTTTCATTTCTCTAATCCAAAAGGTTATGTGGCATGTGTTAAAATTCAAAATCATACTCTATATGCCTAAAAATTTGAGAAAAGAGGTTAAAAAAAAACACCCTAGAGAAAGCATGTTTCAATTAAAACTCCACCATTTTTTTCTGAATATATGAAGTAAAGAATCAATACATGAATTGGAGAATGGTAGGTCATTTGGCAACTCCTTATAAAGACATAGCATTCAGAAAATGTCCTAGTTTAGAAGAGAAAAGCAGCCACACGTTCTGAAATGTACATCTGCAAATGAGAACACAGAGTTCGTCACTGCCGCCAAATAAAGAATGGTCCCAGTAAACTTTTACATGATAGCCTCAATAATTTAAAAGTGAACCAAATTTGGAGCATAAAAAAAAAATTGCTGTAGAAACGGGAAGCTATTTAACCATACGCAAAAAGGAAAGCATATTTATTACATGGCTCAATAGCGTTGGTATGAAATAGAAAACTGACTTCCATTAAGCATGCAGAAAAGTCACATATTTCTATGCCATGGAAATAAAGAATCCTCATGGCCACCTTAATTTCAGAAGTCATCCCAGGGATGACAAACGTTTTTAATTGTAAAGCATGAGGACTGATTTGTGATACCGTGAACAGTGTTTGTAAGCAGCAGTCATGTGTCACCGGGACACAGAGCCACAAGCCATGCCTCCAGTGTGTTCACATCTGCACAGAAACAAAACAGGAAGGAGGTTTGGAAGAAATCAGGCAGGAAGTAGACAGGCCGATGAGAATCTGAAGAATGGGACCAACCGGGAGATCTGAGAGACCAGTTTTTACTCAAAATAAAAAACAAAGCAGAAGAACACGCAGAAAAGAGTTGACTGCTCCTGTTCGTTTTCCGAGGAAGAAGACAGTATGATGCACTAAATAAACTCTTTACTGTCGGATGAAGCAGGAAGTCCCTACCTCAGTTCTTCTGGCTTCGGTGTCATATTACCTGGAGTCAACTCCTTTGGGTCAGAAGTCAGTCCACGGACTCAGGTCTACAGACAAATCACTACGCTAAATTTTCTCTGGAACTATTTAAACCCAACAGAATACAAAATGGTGCTCCAAATATTATTTCTGCGTTGTTTGTTTATGTATATGTAGTTCATGTGTTGTTCATGTATGTGCATATTGTTTATGACGGAAGTTTATTAATGAAATGTTTTCAAAGCATATTTACTTCAAACTATGAGCATTATGATGTGGGGTGCATAACACGCAGTGAAATGCGTAACAAGTGCAAAAGCTGGAGAAAGAGAAATGGAAAGCTGCTATCAAAAACTTCAGTTAGGGGCTGGAGAGATGGCTCAGAGGTTAAGAGTACTGGCAGCTCTTCCAGAGGTCCTGAGTTCGATTCCCAGCAACCACAAGGTGGCTCACAACCATCTGCAACGAGATCTGGTGCCCTCTTCTAGCATGCAGATGACCCAATTGAAAAGCCAGGTGTATATGTGTGCGTGCGTGCGTGCGTGCGTGTGTGTGTGTGTGTGTGTGTGTGTGTGTGTGTGTGTGTGTGCCACTTAGAAGAAACCCACTTTTTCAGGGAGACAGAGAGGAGAGGGTCCAGTGTAGGCCAGGCTGACCTAAACTCATTACATAGCTGAGGATGACCATGAACTGATCCTGCTGCCTCTGCCTGCCACGAGCTGTGAATAGAGATGGCACTGAGAATGCAGCCCCCGGGGTCACGCACGCTACACCACCACTCTACCTACTAAGCCACATCAGCCACTCAGAAACCTACTCGAGGTATGAATACACAACCGGTGAAAAGGTGAAAAGCCAGGAACGGTTATAAACACTAGAGTTGGAGAACACAAGGAAACCAGCGTGGTTATAATCATGACACAGAATAGATGCCAGAGCAAATAATATCACCAGAAATAATAAAAGCCATTTCCTAGTTATAATGAGGCAATTCATCAAAAGCACAAAAATTCTAAATATTTCTGCACTATTAACAAGGCTACAAAAACATGACATAAAAAAAAGCTGATAGAACACCAAGAACAAATAAATATAGAATTACCCTCATAAATTTCAATACTCTTAATAATTGATGGCTCCATTTGAATTTAATTTATAGACAGATTAACCCAAAATATGCTATTCAAACTTTTGAGAAGATCATGTTAAACAAGATTATTGTGCTTGCAACAAAACTATTTACAATTAAATAATTTCAGAATTAATTTCTTTTCCCCAGTAACTCTAAAATTCAAAACTGTTAGTGACTTATAACCCAGCCCTGAAGAAGTAGAGGTTACAACTTAGTGATACAATCACTGGGAATTTGCACCCAATAAATGTTACAGTCTTGAGTTTTTCCAGCTTCAGTTATAATTCCACTTTGGAATGCTGTGTGCAGGAAAAGGGGGGGTAGGAGCAGCTGCTGGAGAGAGGAGTGGAGTAAGGGACATCTGATTCTAAAAATTCTATTCCTAACAAAATGTGAATGTTACATGAGACTCTCTATACATCCTGCGCACTTTCCTAGGGAGAATAGATAAATCATTCTTCTAGATCTTTGGTCTGGCCAATTATATTAAATCTACACCTTCAGAAATATTTCTCCTTGGGCTCAAAAGATGGGTCAGTAGTTCAGAGCCCGTATTACTCTTCTAGAGGACAAGAGTTCATTTCCCAGAATCCTGTCGGTAGCTTCACAACCACCTGTAATTCCAGCACCATGGGGTCTGGCCCCCTCTACTGGACTCCCAGGCTCCAGAACATGTGCATACACCCATACACAGATACACACAAATACATGTAATCAAAATTTTGTTTTAAAATCTTATTTTATCCTATATTGTATTTCATAGTCTCTAAATAGGACATGAATTGTATATAGTAGATACGTGCTCAATGAATAAATTCATGTGAGAGATTAAATCAAAGACATTGCCTATTACATTTTCACCACCATTCTGTCTAAAAGATCTCTAAGAAAAAGCCATAAAAATTAGTACTATTTCCCAACATATCAGTCACTGATATTAATGTATTTCTTTCTGATGATAAGCAAGTAGCGAAGTATGATTCTGAAGGACCTGGATTGCAAAGCTTAATATTCACACAGATTTTTTTTTCCTACATCCACTTCAATAGGAAATGCAATAGGAATTCTACATTTACCTATAGATAACCACGCTGAAAAATGACGTACTTTGACCACTAAACCAGATCATGAATTTCAAAGCAAAATACTACTGCCTTTAATGTTCATAGTCCTTTAAATGGTGTCTATCTTGTGTCTTCCAGGTCTCCTGTTATGGCTGGAGGTCTCTTCTCAGTGGATCGAAAGTGGTTTTGGGAACTGGGTGGCTACGACCCAGGCTTAGAGATCTGGGGAGGAGAGCAGTATGAGATCTCTTTTAAGGTAAGACCGACAGGCTGTCCTCACTCCATATTTACAGGCAATTCTGACAGAATGCATCACTTCGCTTTGTGATCTGTGTTGTAAGATAAGTTATTCCTCCCAAGGGAACTTATGGAAGAAAAGCAACTTTTTTCCAATGTTATAGTGAGTCACAGCCATGCTACATGCAAAAAGAAACCATCCAACTCTTGTTTATAGATGAGCAACTCAGTCTACCTACATCGACTGCTCCCCTGGCAAAGGCATTTGTCCTGAGTGCTTACAGGATAAAGGACAGACGAGTAAAGCTGAAAAAGGGAGACAGAAATTGGAGTTTTGCCTTTCATGTCCAAACAAGAGGGAGCAATTCAGATTTTGTTCTCAACCAGTTATTCCAAAATTCCAGGAACTGATAATAAATTTAAAATATCAATGACAAATTGAAGAGCAAGTTTTTTATGTTTTGTTAAATTTAATTTTATTTTGAGGTGGGATCTTGAACATAATCAAGCTGGCAACCCAGACTGAAACTGTATAACCTCAAGCCTATAGTAATCCACCTGCCTCAGCCTCTAAAGTGTTTAGGATTGCAAGTGTGAGCAGGTTATCTGCAAGCAAGTCTTTTGTTTATTTTATCTGGAATTGCCCATATTTCTACTTGCCTTAGTGATCAATTTTTATTTATTTATAAAATTCTGTGCTTCATTGTATACACACACACACACACACACACACACAAACACACACACATCTTATATGTAGACAAGTTTCTAAATTGTCTTATTAAATAAGAAACATGGAGCCAGAAATTTTGGTTAAAGCCTTAGAGAGATCAGGGAAATACAGAAAGCCATCAGCTAACCTCACCTCACCAACTCTGCAGCTTTCAAAGAACTCGGCTTCCTGTCTACCCAGGCTTATATGCCTTGCTGTTCTGCCTTCTCATTGGCTATCTTAGCCAAGCTACCTCACTTCCTCTTCCTACACAGCTCTGTCACTTTCTGTCTGTCTGTACAGACCTGCAGTCCTCTATGGTTGATACTGGGATTAAAGGCGTGTGTTACCACGCTTGGCTCTGTTCCCTAGTGTAGCCTTGAACACACAGAGACCCTGCCTGCTAAGGGATTAAGGGCGTGTGCTGCCTGACTTCTTTGTTTACGTAAAATGGCTGGCCATTCCCCCCAGATCTCCAGGCAAGCTTTATTTATTAACGCACAAATAAAATATCACCACACTTATACATATACATATGTACATATTTATGATTCTGCTTCAAATTTGTAACATATGAATGACAAACCATAACATATGAAAAAGAGTTAAAGCAAAACAAACTGTGTGAGAATTCATACTCCAAATTGCCCACATCATTTTGAAAATCGATCTTACAAAGAAAAGAAGAACTTTTTTTCCCTTGTCTTGATGCTTGTTTGTATAGAAGCAAAGTCTGACTCTTGTAACATTGCCATATGGAAATCCCTGGCACAAGTCAGCCTTCGGTGACTGTTTCCATTACAAAGTCCAACCAGTGCTTGTTGTGAAAAGAAACTATACCCTGAGTCCAATTAAAGTCAAACACAAGAACCCAGATACAATTTTTAGAATTTATGAAGAATGATTTTGATGAGACTATAACATCAAGCATTAATAGAATGTTATACTTTTCCTCAAGGAGTCACAGAATGAATATCCTCGAAAGAAACAGAGGTGTCACTGCAGGCCTTGGGACATCTAGAATGTTCCCTCTCACCCCTAAATGTCATTTACTAAATTGGTGCATTTTTACCCATTCAAACATACAATTTTGCATCTAAGACATTTCTCTTACCCTTGCAGTTGCATTGTTTCAAGCCTTTGGGTTTGCCAGTGTCTTTGGCTTCCTCTCTTATGGCCGTAGCTATACAGCTTGTTATGGCGCATGTGCAGAAGTAATAATCACACAGCAGCATGGCTGCACTCTTAGTGCTTTAAACCAAATGTTGAACTGAATATTTTTGTATTAGCTGGTTTTAAAATATAACCTTAAAAGGCGTTATATTATTCTATTATATAGATGAAGAAACTGAAGCTTACAGATTTCTTTTTAGATAAATTTTCTTTAGTTTTTGTTTGTTTGTTTATGTTTTGGGATGTTTGTTTGTTTGTTTGTTGTAACTTTTATTGATTCTTTGTGGATGTCACATCATGCATTCCAACCCCACTTATCTCCCTGTCCCTTCACATCCACCCTCTGCCCTGGCAACCTCCCCCTAAATCAAAACCAAATTAAAAAGAAAAATCAAAAACAAAACAAAGAAACAGAGAGAGAGAGAGAGAGAGAGAGAGAGAGAGAGAGACTCTTGTCATGGAAGCTGTAGCGTAGCCCATTGAGTCACACAATGTACCCTTTAGTCCATTCATGTTTACTTGCAAGTGTTCATTGCAAGAGTCGTTGGTCTGGCTCAAGGCCTCTGGCTTCTGCTATGCCACCAATAGTGGGCTCTCACTGGGGCTCCTTTTGGATATTCTGTGGTTGTCCTGGATCATGGAGATCTGCTGCAAGCCACAGGAAAATGTAATGGAATTCAGCTACCATCACAAAAGCTACTACTTGGAAAAGTCAAGAACTTCTCCAAAGGTCAAACCATGGTTTAAGAAGTCTTGGTGATATTTTAGGTTTTGTATATATATTAGCTGGTTCCTAAAATGATTTTCTTGTGTACTTCCAGGAACTCCTAACAGTGTATTTATCTAAAATACCTATCATGCATCCAAGGCCAAATGAAACAACACCTGTCCCCTAGGTCAGGAGGATAGCTTTATTTCTTGTGCAATTTAGGATGAGACCCTCCTTCCCTACAGCCTTACTAATAGACTCCTAATTTTTTACCTAACCACTTCTAGGAATGTAGGTTGAGCACATAAATTCCCTTCTTGATATACTAACTGATCATCAGCTCTCTATTGACCTCCTCCTTTACCACTCCCCATTTGGGTTGTAAAAAAAAAGCCTGGTGGTCACTGCCTGAGGAAAATTCCTACCTGCCTTTATGATCCCATAAGAGTTCAAGCCTGGTGACCTTGCTCTGCCAGAGGATTGCTATTGCTTGGGTTTATTAATGGATTCCTGAGAGACTTAGGGGAACAGAGAGAATAAGGAAACAGAAAGGAGGAGAGAGAGAGAGAGGAAAAAAAGAGAATGGAAGAACTAGATGGGTAAGAACTGGAGAGGAACGGATTAGATGGTAAGAACTAGATTGAAGGGCTAAAAGAGAGGACTAGAGGAACAAGACGGAAGATGAGGAAGAGCCAGATGGGGAAGAACAAGATGAGGAAGAACAAGATGAGAAAGAAGGAGATGGGAGAGGCGCTAAGATGGGAAGGAACTAGATGGATGAGAACCTAGATGGGGCAGAACTAAGATGAGAGAATTAAGATAGAACTTAGAGGGGAAAGCAGATAAATGTAGAGAAAAATCAGGAAAGAAAGGGGCTAAGCATGAGAGCAGAATAGAAGCTTATAGAGAGAGAACTGACACAGAATAATAAAGTGTGTGGACTAAGGAGGTTCATGTACATAGATTCGTTTCTTTTCATCAAAGATTAAATTATCAGCTGGTTGTAGATTCTTCCCAGACCCTGGGAGAGGACTATCAAGGGGCTGGTTCCCCTTAGTCCCTGAGAGAGATCCTGGTGTTTTGGTCTGTAGGTTCATCCCCTTCACATGCTCCAACAGTTCATAGATTTGGTAGATGTTGGGGTGGCCAACTCATAGCCCTGGCTCTGGCCCTGGGTGGTAGCTGGGTTGGTCAGCTCACTAGCTTTCCCTCATTGTCACCACCCTGGCAAACTCTCCAGCATTGCCTTGGCTAGCTCACTCAATGCAGCCTGCAACAAGGAACGGGGCCAGGTCTCCGGCTCTCGGATCCTCAGATCCAGGTCACCCACACTCACACCACCAGGGCCCTCTCTCTTTATTTCTGTAGGGGACATACAAGAAGGAGCAGGGTCAGCTTCCCTGCTCTCATATTCTTAGGGCTGGGTCACCTGCACCCCTGAGGGTCTGCTCTAGTGTGCTGTGTGTGTTGCAGCTGGTGCGGGGCAGGGCCAGTTCTCTCACTCCTGTGACCCTGTGGCAGACAAGAGGGTTTCTTTAGGTTTTAAAGATTAAGTAGAGACTATACTTTTAGGGATAGTATCTATGATTAAATAACCAAGCATCAATACTAAAACTGAAAAAAAAAAAAAAAACAGAAAACAGGTAATGGCAATGGCTCCAGCTTGGGTACTTTATCCCCAGTTGGTGGAACTATTTGGAAAGGATTAGGCAATCTGGCCTCAGGTTCTTTTGTTTGTTTGTGATAAGTATTTTGAATGCCTAGTATTAGGTTTCTCCGCCAACACAGTAAGCCAAATTGAGTCGAATCAAAAGGTAAAGGACCAGGTTTAATCTGAGTAAAGCGTCCCTGTGTGATCTCGGGTGGGGTGTGTGTGTGTGATCTTGAGCAGGGATCTGCCACTTGATGGGCTTTCTGAGGGGCAGGGTTTGGAAAGCGGGTATGGGGGTGGCTGAAGCAGGGCTACTTCCTGGTAGCATAGGATGATATGGGGAGGAGGAGTCGGGAGTCAGTGAGCTCATGCTCAGCAGGAGGTATTCGTGAAGAAGCCTTTGGTTAACTGCCATCCTAGAGACCTCAGGGATCTGTTTCTTGAAGAAGCAGAGAAGACAAGTTGCTAAAAGAAAAAAAGAGATTGTTATCACTGGCCTATGATGGGACTAGCCAGGGGGAGAGGGGAGATTGCCAGTAAGAATGGAAAGGAGATGTGCCCTGGTTGCACTAACAAAGATGAATGAACAAGGCAGAAGAGTAGATAGGCCTTTCATTGGGACAATTTGGAAACCCAGAGAGTGGAGGGTCCCAGTTGCTGGACAAAGCATCTATCCTGGATAGGTGCCCACTTGAGCCTGGAGACATGGTACCAGCATTGATGTCTCAGGACCTTGGGGGGATGGGATGCCAAATCAGGGGGTGGTGTGTCCCA